GCTCCAGCAGAACCAGGCTCAGGACAGGAGACCATCTGCCTCGACCGGCTGCTTGAGGGACAGGAAATGGGTCTTGTGCTTCATACAATGACAATAAAGAAATAATCAAAATGGTGAAGATGGAGATAATGCAGGTAGAATTTGTAAAAACACAAACTTTGTTTCATCTCAATAAACTGTCATTAAAATTAGATAAAACTAACTATATGATAATTAGTAGCAGAAATAAAACTGTTGATGGAGTTGAGATCTGCAGAGTCAGTGAGGTGAAGTTTTTGGGAGTAATCATGGAGACCTGTAGATAAATTAAGAATAAAAATAGCTAAATCCATTGCAGTATTATATAAAGTAAGAGAGTTATTTAATGATAAATCTCTGTATGTTGATTTATTGTGTTGAAGTTTGGGGTAAAGCATGTAAAACAATAAAAAATAATCCCATTTTCATTTGACAGAAAAGAGCTGTAAGAATTATCACCAGAAAACATCACAGTCACCCTTCAAATATATTATTTAATCAGTTTAAATTATTGACATTTCATGAGTTGGTTGATTATAATATTTTGCAGGTTATGTGTAAGGCTCATAAAAACATATTACCTGTAAACATCCAGTTACATTTTGTTAAAAGACAGAGCMGTTATCATCTTAAGGGGATTGAGATGTTTGTGAAACTTAAATTTTGAACCAGTTTGAAGGAACGATGTTATAATTCAAGGAATAAGATTATGGAATAATCTGCAGAGTGCTGTTAAAAATGCCAGATTAATGTTTCTGTTTAAGAGAATGATTAATTGGTTTGTTGAAGAAATATAAAAAAGAATAATGTGTACTCATGCAATTTTTTGTTTGAGGAGGATTATTGTTGTTTTTGTTACTTAAAGACTATTAGTATTGTTTATTTTATCTTTTCTTAAAAAGGGGCAGATATTATAGGATAATTTGTCTCTTTCTGCTGCCTTTCATTTTATTTTTGATTTGTATTTTTTGTTTTGTTTTTAAATGAAATGAATAAAAAAGGCTTCAAAATGAGGAAATCTGTGCAAACATGCATTTTATGATAATATGAGGACATTTCAAGAAGTGTTTTAGTTTCTGTTAAAGCAGCTAAAGGTGAGAATGAGCCTCTAATTATTAAATTACCTGAAATTAAATTGTTTAAACTTTAACGGTAAACCTGCCTCCTCCTGCAGCAGAGATCAAATATTCAGTTCACACAGTTGAAGCGTGTGTGTGTGTGTGTGTGTGTGTGTGTGTGTGTGTGTGTGTTGCAGGTCCGTGGAGCAATGCTTCCACATGTGTGACAGGGTGGTCATCTACGTCTTCATCGCTGCCTCCTACACACCCTGGTGAGTGTTGGACGTTGCTCCGGCTCTGAGGTGAACCGTGGATGAACAGGTGACCAACATGTTTGTGTTTCCTGCCTCAGGCTGAACCTGCGGGAGCTGGGCCCGCTGGCTGCACACATGCGCTGGTTCGTGTGGCTCATGGCCGCCGCCGGGACCATTTATGTCTTCATCTACCACGAGAGGTGAGGGGTGTGTCGGGCTGCCAGGTGGGGAGGAGGACACTCTGTCCCACCTGTCCCTTCAACCTGTCAAATCCAAGCTTTATTCTAAAACATTTTAGTTATTTACAATGAGAAACTCCAAAATTAAAAAAATCCCAAAGGCTTTAAGATGATTCAGTTATTTCTTGTTTTATATAAATAAATAAATAGATTTATTRTTGTTTGTTTCCACACAGGTATAAACTTGTAGAACTGGCCTTTTATTTGACCATGGGCTTCTTCCCTGCATCAGTTGTGACCTCAATGGTAATAAAACCGATGCTTCTTTCATTGTTTTATGATTCATATCACGTTCAGAAACAGGAGCGATGGGTTTATTTAAACTGTTAAACATGAACATTAAGGAGGATTAATTCTATAAATGTTGTTTTTGTTTAGAAAAGTAGTATTTTTCTACCATCGGTGACTTCAAGCTGAAGTTTGAGGCTGAATATTTAGTCATTTCTGCTGCCCTCTTGTGGTTTCAAAGTGTGTTAAAAGTTAATGTTTATTATCAAAACAGATGATTTGGTTACTTTTTGTTGTTATTTTAAAATGTAAACAGTCAACATCCGAAGTGTCGAACTCAAAGTATTAAACTTGATCCCAGTTGAGGGTCAGCCTTCGTTCATATTTAACCAAAAACAAACTTTTTAAAGTTTATTTCCTTTAGCAAAAACTACTATATACATGTCTCCTTTAAGTACACTCATTTTAAACTTAAAATAACAGAGTATACTTCCAGTTTACTTCTTATGTACTTTGAGATATACTTAACCCAGTTTATCTTACGCTATACTTGGTTTGTACTAGTATACTTAGTTTATAATGTTTGAACTTTTAACCAAGATAAACTTTAGTAATACACTGAAAGTACATTTTCACACAGACTGGTTTATTTGTAGTATATTTCAAAATTAAACTAAAAGTATACTTAGAAGATTCTTTCAGCGTACTTCTGAGTATACATTCATAAACATATTGTGGACCAATTTAGTCCTAGAAGTATACTTATTAGTAAACTGCTAGTATACTTATATCAGTGTACATGGTAAATAAAAGTACACTTAGGAAAATACACCTTTATATACTTTAGGTGGGCCAATTTAGTCCTAGAAGTATACTTATTAGTAAACTGCTAGTATACTTATATCAATGTATATGGTAAATAAAAGTACACTTAGGAAAATA